TGTTCATCTAAACTGAGAGCAGAGAGTTGAGCGTCGTACACATGTTAACCCAGGTTGCTGGTCGAGCTTGATGGTCTTCTCCGGAACTTTGGTGTGCCCCCGTGACCTGTGCTCCATGTCAACCCGATGGACAAAACCCAAGAAGAAGAAAAAATAGAGGGTCAACAAGATGCATCTCACTAGTGCGGAAGGTCAGACGACAGCGGCCCGAGTAATTAGTTAAACGTACCCTGCGGCGGTAGCCACTGATAAGGGGCTGGTGCGGGTATCGTAGGCGAACCGGGGGTTTCACTCCGGGAAGCCATAACCAAATACCCATATCACAATGCCTCCTCCTCTCCCTCACTTGCACTGATGGAATTGAGAAGTGTATAGACGAGGCACCAGAGATACAGGGTTCAATCCTGCAATAGGGATCGGAAGACGCATGCAAGCAATCACACTGGGAATGGATGACACGCACACTGGATGGGCCGCCGCTGCGCGATCAGTCTAGTCCGGCCGCGGCGCACGCAGGGTCTGCCGCCGTGCGCCATGTCTGGCCCTGACGCAACGAGCAACTTCCGCAGCGGGACGCCCTGAAGGAACTCGACGGGAGAGGGAGAGGGAGAGGAGAGCAGCTACTCCTGCCGCCGTCCTAGCGCTTTGTTGCCTCCGATCTACCGCTGCCGCCACATGAGCGAGAGAGAGCCAGATCGGATAGGTAGGGTTTCGCTCGGGAAGGAGGAGGTGGCCGAGGGGAAAAAATTCGCTGCTTTATAGCCGGGGTTGAGCGGGCTTTAGCCCACATAGAAAACTCTAAAAAAAAGGGGTGCATGCTGATTCTCAAAAAGAAAAAGAAAAACCAGGCCACATGTTGTGGTATACCTGTCGCATACGAAGTTACTTTGCCTCAAAACAAAAACATACGAAGTTACTAACCGAGTGACGCCATCTAGAACATAGAATAAACGAACAGATCAATCACATACGGCTCGGTAAGAAATAACTAACCTACAGATCGAGTCACACACGCCCTGGCGAAAAAATAACTAACTTGCTAAATGCTACAAGAATATCGTCCAAGAACATAATAAATATGTGTAAAAAGAAGAACATAATAAATATATTTTTAGCATAATTTACGGTAGCATCTAAACTCTAGCTTATTTTCAACGCCGTTATTTGAGACCATAATGATCCTATGTTCAAACTCCCTGTACCAAACTTTTTTCCGCCAACTCATATTTCCATTTTTTTCTGATAGAACGAAATAAGAGCTCATGAACGCAGGATTCACGTTTTTCCCCCTCAACCACTACCTATTTATGATAGACGGAACAAAATAAGTTTTTCGCTGGCCATTACCTATTTATATTAGATAGAACAACGTAATTATATTGGTAAGTAGACTGTGAAAAAACTATGATGGATCCTACTGTCAACACTATTACGCGGGTCATACTGCTCGTTAACCCGTCAAGCACTATGGTAGGTCCCATTGCTAGACGTTACATGCCAAAAAAGTGATCCTCACACATTCATATTCGATGACTCTAGTAGGTTCGTCATCGAAATTACCAAATTGTCATAGAAATTGGTAGCCAGGTGCACTCATGGGCCGAAGCGATTAAGTGACGTCTATTGTCACCGATTTGTAGTAATCAGTGATGCTACCTAGGAAAACATCACGCATTACGTATTTGTGTGACGTTGTCCACCATTGTCACGAGGATTTTCGTCACAGTATCTCAATTTTTTTGTAGTGCTTCCATGAGGAAGAAGAACACCATATCTAGCTATGTTATGAGCTTTGAAATTTGAAGCTCAAGGTTCAAACACTAAATTGCAATAGGTAAAAACACTCGCAGTCTCTACAAGCTCTTTGATAATACCACCATAATTCCCTCTAGCTTGCTGATGAATGTGATTGACAATCTGCTTGCAGTCGAAAGCCACCTGAATGTGTTGCATCGCAAGGTCTTGTGCCAGGGAAATAGCTTCCCTACATGCCAGGAGGGTCGATGAGTCCATGTATGACCAGAACAGAAGAACCCAGATATGAACCATATGTATCGCAGCAGATAGAAGCTGCAGTGCCCACATTATGATCCACCAAGACACCTGCATGGGCATTTATTTTAACATTGCCTAGCACGGGGGAATCCAGCGCCTAGACTGAGCTTGTACTGGTGCTGATATTGCATGTGGATCCAGTAGTGTGTCTAGCTGATCAAGCTCTGATATGAATCTTGTGACAAAAGAGTGTATCATATGGGATTTGATTAATTACCTCATGTATAAGTTTCCCGCGAGCATGCCAGATAGCCCATAGCATTAGACACATTCGGATCAACTGTTCGTGACGCAACACTTCCATCATAGAGAATAGTGATGTTTTCGCTGATGGTTGTTGTGTTGCAATCATATGTTCCAGAAGATCGTGATCTACCAAAGTCCACACACACCGAGCCATCATACACTCGGGAAGACTATGCCGCCAAGAATCTTGTGCTCCACAAGCAAAACAATCATCATGGTGGGACATTTTCCTATGCTTGCGGACATCCTCGGTTGGGATTGAATTTTTCGCCAGTCTCCAAAGAAACATCTTAATTTTTGCTGGCACCGAAACCTTCCAAAGTGTAACCCATACTTTCTCATTTTCAGAATTATTTGAGGCTCCCACCCTCTCTTCTAACCAATCTTTGTGGCGCTTTTTAATGTCCACAATCATTTTATAAGCAGAACAGACAAAGAAGATGCCATTTTTCTCAAAATTCCACGACCAAAAACCATTGATCACCCTGGTGCATACATGTATCTGAAGAATGGCAGCTGCATCAAAAGGTAAGAAAATGTGTGCAACTAATTATGCATTCCATCTGGCACTACCTTGGTCCAACAAGTCTGATACCAGCTGCGGTGGGTTGGGAATTAGAGAAACTATAGGCCTCGTGTTTTCTCGCCTAGGGATCCAATTCGTATCCCATATATGAGTATTGTTACCTGTGCCAATGCATCTGTTAAGGCCTGTTTTCAAAGTGTCACGGATCTGCACAATCGATCGCCAAATCTAGGATGGGTGGTATCAAGTTCAGCGGTAAGAAAATCAGTGTTGGGGGAGTACACCACTTTCAGTGGTCTTACACTCAATGATTCCAGATTCTCTAATATTATCCAAGCCTGCCTGGCTAAGAGGGCGAGATTAAAAATTTCAAAAAACCAATGCCTCCCATATATTTCGGCATACACATAATATCCCAAGACAGCCAATATGGCTTGCGCAGACCTTGCTTGATACCCCACCAAAAGGCTTTCATCATAGAAATTAATTGCTGGCACAAGCCCCTTGGTAATTTAAAACATGACATTGAATAAACCGGGATAGCTTGACCAACTTATTTCACCAAGACTTCCTTGCCCGTTGCAGAGAAAAGTTTCTCCATCCAACCCTGAATTTTATTCCACAACATGTTCTTAAGGTATTTAAAAAGCTCCATTTCTTGACATTCCCACACCCAAAGGCATCCCTAGACATTTTTCATTCAGCTGCTCATTAGGTACACTCAAAATATGTTTGATCACACCTCTTACCTCCTTAGAGCACCTCTTGCTGAAGAAGATTGAAGATTTTTTCCTTATTTATTCTTTGACCAGAAGCATGAGCATAAGTTTTCAGAAGGAGAAAACCTCTTCCGCCCCCTCGTTAGTTGCTTTAAAGAACAACAGACTGTCATCTGCAAACAAACAAGTGATTCACCGGTGAAGCCGATGAGGCCACTTGTATACCCACAAGGCTAGATGACTAATTCTGAATTTTAAAAGACACGAAAGGCCCTCTGCTGCTTGCAAAAGGAGATACACAAGTCATAGGCCCGCCGTCTCCAAAACCCCAAGACCGGCCCTACCCAAGCCTGATACCTGCAAAAAAAATTGAATTTGAAACTAAGGCAACAGGAATTCTCATATAATAACCTAGCGTAACGCACGTACGTGACCTAGCCGGCCACCACCACCCAAAAAGCTAGGGTTCTCCGCCTCCCGCCGGCGCCGGCGCCGATCCGTCCCGTCTCCGGTGGCCTTAGGGCCATGGGGGCGGAGTGGATCTCAACCCTTGCCGGTGGGAGGGCTCTATTTTTAGATCTTTTTTCGAGCTTTGTTAGGGTTTATGTCCTGCCCAGGAAGACGAGACGGTGACGGCTCCCTGAAGATGGAATAAAGGTCTCCCCGCCTAGCCCCCGTTCCGGTGATGCGTCGAGCATCATAGGTGGGCGTGTGGAGGTGTGTCTCCGGCGGATCTGTCGATGGTGGATTTGCTCGGATCTGTTCGTCGTTTGTTTTTGTTCATGTGTCTTCAGGTTGGTTCCTTCTGATCTACACTCTTCATCCGCGGCGGTTGCTGTTCTGGTGCGTTGGTTCTATGGGGCCTTAGCACGACGACTTCCCGACTGTCTACTACAACAAGGTTTGCCCGGCTCCGGCGAGGGAGGGGCGATGACAGCGGCGCGCCTTCGGCTCGCTTCAGTGCTTGTAGTCGTCGCTAGGTGGTCTATGGATCTGGATGTAATCTTTACTATTTCTAGTGTTCGTTGTACTACCTTGATTGAAGATGAATAGATTGAAAGTTTTCCCGAAAAAAAGAAATTGAGAGGGATGCTCGATGATCATCGCGATGAAAGCCGTTGCGATGAGATCCGTGAAATACGAGTCAGTTTTCAACTTTCACGGAGCGAACGCTCGTCGGCTCGACTCACACGCCACACACCACACGAACCTTCTCCCCCCGTACGACACGACACGACACACGAGCCAGCCGAGCCGCTACCGACCCGACCCACCACGCCGCGTTCCCCAATCCCCCACCCCCCCAACCAAAATCTTCCCCATCTCCCCCGGCCGGTTCCGTTCTCCCGTCCCCTTCCCCACCCCAGCCTCCAGATCGCGCCGCGCGCCGCCCCTGACCGCCGCCGGAACCCCACCCCGCCGACGAGGTCCGACCCCCGGGGGGCCCAGCCAAGATGGTGCTCGCGCAGCTGGGCGGGAGCATCTCCCGCGCGCTCGCGCAGATGAGCAACGCCACGGTGATCGACGAGAAGGTGCTCGGGGAGTGCCTCAACGAGATCTCCCGCGCGCTGCTGCAGTCCGACGTCCAGTTCAAGATGGTCCGCGACATGCAGACCAACATCAGGAAGATCGTCAACCTCGAGACCCTCGCCGCCGGCACCAACAAGCGACGCATCATACAGCAGGTCCCGCCCCCCGCTCCGGCCCTCCATTCATTTCCTGCGCTAGTTCGATCGATCCAGGGGGGACTGGGCGGGAGGATGCTGATGCCCTTGTTTTTCATTTTTCGTGCTGCAGGCCGTCTTCACGGAGCTCTGCAACATGCTCGATCCCGGGAAGCCGGCCTTCACCCCCAAGAAGGGCAAGCCCAGCGTCGTCATGTTCGTCGGGTTGCAGGGTCAGTCTCACTGACTAACCTCGCTTACCTGCTCTGTTTTTTGTTCTACGCCTATTACCTGAATTCCACTCGCTACATGTGATTGCTTATTATAGCTGTATATATCTACCAGTCTGCGTGTAGCATTACTAGACCACCTAGAATGAGTGCGTTGTTTAAGCACCAGAGATGGTCTCATAGGAACTGTTTGTTTCATGTTTTTCCTGGTTATCTTGATAGGCGAGCAAAATCGAAAGCTCCAAACCTTGTTGAATAAATTGATGTAAATTTAGGCCATTATTGGGAGGAGAATTGCGGTTAGGGTCATCAATTACCTGTCACCAATAGAAGCAGACCTTGTTTAGTTTGTTGATGTAATCTTTTGCTCTATCCATGTGCTTCATTCGTGAATTGTGATGACAAGCAACTATAGGAATAGGAATCAGTATTATACTCAATGGTCTTCTCAATTCTGTCTTGAGAAGTATGGCAAGGTAGATAAATTGTTCTGTGGATAACTTATAATGACCCAGGCATTTCAGGGGGTAGCTGTAGGTGCTATATCTAAAGCCTTGAGAATCATCACCATTTCCTGCTTCATTTTCCTAGTTGTTCGTACTTGTGAGATATCTCCATTTTCCTGTCCTAGTTTTGACAGAGTCAAAACATCCAGTGCTGTGTTCATTATCGTTTTCCTTCTCTTTTATATAGTTGCGATGTAACGTTCACTGAATAACTATATATGTCTGTAGGTTCTGGAAAAACTACCACATGTACCAAATACGCATATTATCATCAGCGCAAGGGATTTAAACCGTCTCTGGTTTGTGCCGATACATTCCGAGCTGGTGCTTTTGATCAGTTGAAGCAGAATGCAACCAAGGCAAAGATACCTTTTTACGGAAGGTTCTCTACATTGATAGATTTACCTGTGGGTTAAAAGCTTCTCTCCAAATTTTGCACTAAATAAAATTGCCTTCTTTGCAGCTACATGGAGTCAGATCCTGTGAAAATTGCTGTTGAGGGTCTGGAAAGGTTCAGGAAAGAAAATTCTGATCTCATCATTATTGACACAAGTGGACGCCATAAGCAAGAGGCTGCACTCTTCGAAGAAATGCGTCAAGTTGCAGAAGCAACGGTATTTACACTGTCATAGTCTTGCACCCTTATTTTTCCTGTAATGTCGAGATTTTCACCTACCTTTTCATGGTTCATTGCAGAAACCAGACCTGGTGATATTTGTGATGGATGGCAGTATTGGTCAGGCTGCGTTTGATCAGGCACAAGCATTTAAACAAAGTGCTTCTGTTGGTGCTGTCATCGTAACGAAATTGGATGGTCATGCAAAAGGAGGCGGTGCACTTAGCGCGTTAGTATTACTTTTTATTTTTCTTGTTCTTCCTGGTGCTATTTCCTGTATCGTGTTGCTTATGAGCGATATTATTTACAAAGAATCTAAGTTAGCTTAGTTTGTTCTTTGGTAAAATTTCTTCATTATAATTCTTCTTGTGGGATTTTCCCCCTCTGGTTAATATGTCCTTCTAGAGTTGAATTTCATTTTACCAGGTTACATATCATCCTTATTTTAGTTCAACAAGAAAATGCTACTTGGTTTAGGATCACTTCAATCTGAATGGTTGCACATATGTTTAGTGTATCTGTGAAGCAGTTAAGATTGTTATTTATCTGCTCAGCTGTATTCTCAAATCCTGTTTTAGCTTCTTTTTTTATTGTGTTTATTACAAGTAAGCGAGGATACCGTTTGTTAGAGTAAACAGGTGAAGAATCAGAGGAACTTTTTTTTTACATCCTTGCCTCTTTTTTCCCCAGGGTTGCAGCTACAAAAAGTCCAGTGATATTTATTGGAACTGGAGAACACATTGATGAATTTGAGATTTTTGATGTGAAACCATTTGTCAGCCGTCTGCTAGGTTAGCAACTACATTTAATATTGTGTGTAGCTTGGTGTTTCTTCTTTCTAGTTTACCTAATGATGTATTTGTCAGGTATGGGAGACTTGTCTGGCTTAATGGACAAGATCCAGGATGTTATGCCTGCTGATCAACAGCCTGAGCTTCTGGCAAAGCTGGCTGAAGGAACCTTCACTCTCAGACTTTTGTATGAGCAATTCCAGAATCTTCTGAAAATGGGTCCTATTGGCCAGGTTAACTATCTTTTACTCCCTTTGTTCACAAATATAATATGTTTTGGATATTTCACTATGGACTACATACGAACTGAAATGAGTGAACAAACACACTAAAATGCGTCTATATACATACGAATCAGAAGAAAAGTTAGGACATGTTATAACAGTGAACGGAGGGAGTAGTATTTATCATGTTAACGTCTGATTAACCTTCGTATGATACATTATATCGAGTATTTGATTTTCACACGAAGTCATCCAACAAGACAAGCAAGACCCCACAACTATAATTCTGATATCATTTGTTTAAGCCTGCGTCGTCTTGTTTATCTTGCAGGTCTTCTCCATGTTGCCTGGATTTAGTTCAGAGTTGATGCCAAAAGGACATGAGAAAGAAGGCCAAGCGAAGATTAAGCGGTACATGACGATTATGGATTCCATGACAGCAGCAGGTGAGCTAGATTAGATCAAGGCTTTCCTTTGTACAACACAAGAGCGACGTTCGGAAACTTATCCCAACCCTGATCTACTTTTCAGAGCTCGACAGTACAAACCCAAAGCTGATGACTGAGTCGCGAATCATCCGGATCGCTCGGGGGTCTGGCAGGCAAATCAGAGACGTGATGGACATGCTGGAAGAGTACAAGCGGCTAGCCAAGATGTGGAGCAAGATGAAGGGGCTAAAGATGCCGAAGAATGGGAAGATGAGCGACCTGTCCCAGAACCTGAACATCCAGCAGATGACCAAGGCGCTCCCGCCGCAAGTGCTGAAGCAGATGGGCGGCATGGGCGGCCTGCAGGCCCTGATGAAGCAGATGGGCGGCAAGGACATGAGCAAAATGCTCGGTGGCATGGGACTGGGCGGTGATTAGCCTGGCAAATGTAGGTAGAGTTTATTCTGGGCATAGGTGGTGTGATTGCTGCGTTGTCAGAGTTTGCTATATTTATATAGATCTCAAAAGATTTCCCATCCTGACAAATATAGTCCTCAACTCTTGAAAAAATCATTTGAAATTTCTCTGGAACTAACATCTAGTAAGGTCATCAAATTTACAGGTAGTGTAGCTTCTGTGAATTTGTTGCGTCGTCGCGTTCCTCGCTTGGTATACTTGTTTTATGAATCATGCGGTCTTCTGGATCTGGAGAGCCTGAAACCCAGAGTTAAAATTTGATGTCTGAAGTCTAAAGCGTTTCACTGTTTAATGTATTACTCCCTCCGTTTCTAAACATTTGTCTTTCTAGACATTTCAAATGTTTCTAAACATTTGTCTTTCTAGACATTTCAAATGATTACAACATATGGATGTATGTAAACCTATTTTAGAGTGTAGATTCACTCATTTTGCTTCGTATGTAGTCACTTGTTGAAATCTCTAGAAAGACAAATATTTAGGAACGGAGGGAGTACTTTTCGGCGATTAGTGCAAAGCGGAGAATGAAGTTATGTGAGTCAGTGTACTGATAATTTCGACGCACTAATGTTTCAAGACCTTTTAGGTCTAGATTTAACAGCACATGATTGCCTAATTAGTGCCAACTTTGGGATTGCCGTGCGTTGTAAGAGACGTTTCATGCTGGGGGCGAAATTAGTAATAAAGACAGCAGCAAGGCACCATACTTTTTCTGAGGGAAACATAGACTTTATCTCTGGTACTAGTATGTTTAGTAAGGCACCATGCTTTACCATCTACTACTGCAAAATAAAGCACGCGACATGACACTAACTGCGCTAAAGAAAACGTAAAGCTACATACGCATACACTGCACGATGCCTTTTAACTCCACTCAAGAGACACTTGTCTGATGCACACCAATTTCACAATTAGTCACTAGTTATCTCTGATTATTTTTGTGAAATTTGCCGACGGCCTCTTTTACTTTGAGAAAATCAAGGAGTTCATGAAATCTGCTACTTTGAGAAAACGAAGGAGTTAATGAAATTTGCCAGGGTTGGTTCAGTGGCATCCGTTACTGTCCAAGGGAGGCCAACAGGGTGGCGCGCAAGCTAGCTAGACACTCATATGATTTTAAGTCGAAAATTGTTTTGGGAGGATGATCCTCCTAGTTCCGTTTCACCTCTTTTGTGGAACGATGTAACTATGTTAAATTTGCAATGAAGTGTGCTGGTGAGCATTCCCATAGAAAACGACTTGCTATGTTTAATCTATTCATTTTTTATTTTTTTGCAAACATGTCTAGTCAAATCAGAATATCTTGCTCGATGGGGATAGTTCATTTGCTAAATGGGAATTTATTTGTTTATATAGAAAACCATGCCTTGATTTGTGTTTATCGAACCATTTTACAAAGCGATGACACACGACTAGATTCATCACGGTGCCATAAATCACTTCTCATTTAACTAACAAACCCACATATTTCTCTCTAAAATAAGTCTGAACTCAAATTTGAAGTCTGAAATCCAGAGTTAAAATTTTAAGTCTGAAATCCAATCGTTGCGTCGTTTAATGCTAGAGCGTTTCACATTGAAAGTTCCTACTTTTTGGCGATTAGTGCAAAGAGGAGAATGAAGTTCTGTGTGAGTCAGTGCACTATATTGATAAGTTGGGCGCACAGATGAACTAACATCTCAGGACTGTTAGGCCTAGATTTTACATGCGTGCGTTGTAAGAGACGTTTCATGCTGGGGGAGAAACAATAGTAAGGCACCATATTGTTTTTTAGGGAAACATTCTTTATCTCTAGAGGAGGAAAGAGATGGGGGCGGACCGGCGGGGGCGGGGGCGGCGCCGACGAGAGGAGAAGAGCTTTTCTTGTATAGGAAGAAAGAAATGGAAGAAGAATTGTATCTAACATACATAATGGCATGGAGTAAAGCGAAGTGTTTCAGAGTACATAAGGATAAGAGAATAACACGCGCTCGAGCAAAATTTACATTGGGCAATATCTACGATACAGTAGATTAGACTCGGTGCATTCTAGCTGACTGGGCGTGTGTCACAACAAAACAACAACGACGAGGTTTAGAGTAGTTTTGTCAAACTACAAACATTTTCCTTGGGCCAGTTCTTCTGTTGGCTTCTAAAATAAGTTGACGTAAGTCGTCCCCTAACTAGTTTATTTTAAAAGCCCGACAAAATTTATTTATGTCACAAGCCTACTTTATTAAGACTTGACTAGTAGCCTTAAAAAAAGGGTATGACTAGGTCTCAGTCGCCTGAGATTTAACAAAGTCTCAGTCAAGTAACATAACATGCAATAGAGAAAAAGAAAAACTAAAAATAATTTTTTGCATGAATCAATGTAAGATCTCACGGGTATAGCATCGACTGAGACTTAGCAAGACTGTTAAAAAAATAGTTTGGTTGATAGGAAGCAGACTATTCTAAAAGCGCAAAAAACTAAAAAAAAAAACTGACCTCTGATCCAGCACTGAAACAAAGCCTCTAGTAAATAAAAACCCATTAAAAAAATTAAAACCCACAAACCACATCGGATCCAAATCTCAAACCCTGCCCAAACCAAAAAAATCTCCTCTGGCCACCAACCCCCACCCATCCATCCATCAAAAAGGCGTCCGAACGAAACTGCCCCGGATTTCGTTCGAAACCGCAAAACCTTTTCCAGAAACCACCAAAAAAAACCACAAAACAAAAACCCCGCAGGGACAGGGAGGCTCCTGGCTCTTCAAGGCGGGGGCCCCGCGCCACAGTCTCAAAAGAGCCGAGCCACCCTCCTGCCCCTCGTTCGCCCCGTGCTCCGCCCATGGAGGCCACCCCGATCTCCGTCAAGCCCCCGCCCCCGCCCCCGCCCCCGCCCCCGCCCCCGCACCTCACGGCGGCGGTGCCCCTCTCGGCCGTGGAGCCCCCGCCCTCGCCG